ATGAATTATTTTAGAATTAGAATGTAGAATAAATTATAGAATTTATGAATTAATTTAGAATTCGAATTTTAGAGTTAGAAAATTTGTGGTTGATCGATTTTTTCTCCTCGAAATATTTTTTGTCGCAAAAAAATTTGAAGCTACGATTCAACTGCCAATATGAATTTATAAAAATAAGAAAAATCGATAATTTAATCCCATTTAGATGGTCGTGTTTACCATGAAAACTGATAGCATCGCAATATCGACAAGTTTTAGAGAGAAATGCCGTGTGGCGGAATAATATTTTTTACATATAAAATTAGAATGTATGATTTATCCTATACAACCGCATGTTCTTTGGTGGAACACTTACAGAGGTACAAAACAAAGGCAATATGCAAAGTTTTATTGACGATAAATGTGATAAGGAGATGATGCATATTCATGCGCGTAATTGCTGTTGCCATCGAAATATCGGATGAAATATTAGCATCATAAATTGCTAGCATATCGAGAGAGAAATATGTGAATAAAATGATGTCCTCTGATTGCAGTAACAATGTCAACCACATAACCGCATTTTTCAGATTATCCGCGAATATAACGATATCTCATATGTTAATATTTTAAAATAATTTGGCAAAATTTATCGAGAAGACTCGATATAAATTAGATAGAAAAAATGCACATTATAAAATAATATGAATTTATAAAAAAAATTATATTTAAATAGCCGTTACAATAATTATTAAATAAATAAATAATCATGACATTAATTAAATAAATAAGAATATATTAGTGTTAAATCTATTTGACACATCTTTCGCGATTGATACGAGAAGAAATGTTCATGGGAATTTTTCGCAGTTAAATAAAGGCTTATCAATTCGATAATAATTGAGCAAACGTCGGTCAGCTGATCGTGAAAATGGAGCATCATCCGTATTATCGAAGGGAGAAGGTCGCGACATAAAAACGCGATATTTTAAAACTAAAGATTAAATTGCAGATATTTCCATAAAAATTTTTTTTAGAAAAAATGTCAAACTCCAACATACATATATGCAACCAAACTTCGCTAGATCCAAATAGATTCAAGATTTGTATTATAGAAAAATGTATTATTAATTAAACTTAAATATTTTAAAATATTTTAAAATAAAACATTTTATTTTTTCGAATTCTGAAACTGAATATCGCATGAAATATTGATGTAAGAAATCTCGTAGAGATTGTTCAATATATTTTATTATCATTCAATCAATATCACCATTATCAATTAATATCATTTATCATGCAGTCTTGGAAAAAATGCGTGTAGAGAGGATTTTTTATGCCATGATTATTTTCATAAAGCGTTATAACATAGTTTGTCTCATAATTAATAAAGCGTCATAATTTTTCCCAAATCTGCGACTAAATCTCGCATAAAATATTGATTTAAAAAATCTCGTATAGAGATCATCCAGTATATTTTACATTATCATTCAATTCAAATTATTCACGCAATTTTGGAGTAAAATACAAGGGGGGAGCAGAAAATATGAGGGAATCTTAAAGTATCCTGCAGAGAGAAGTTTCTCTCTTAAAATTTATTCTGCAAATCATGATAATCGTGGACAATATAGTATTGGCAGAATTTTTAAGAGTTTCTCTGATTAATATTTACCTTGATAAAAAATATTAATATGTACCACAATAAAATATAGAATATGTTCGATTAATTTTACTATGTACATATTAATGTTCCTAAAATATTTTGCATTATTTAGATACACCCTCTATTATCAGAAAAACTCATAAAATTCGTTCCAGGGTTCCAAGGCTTGATATTTATTAATATATATATATATATATATATATTTTTTTTTTTTTTAAATATAGGGATTATTTTTTTTAATAGGGATTCTTTAAATAGGGAATATAAGAGTATACATAAGAGTAAGAGTTCCTAAATTTGTTCGCATTATTTAGGTACTTGCTCTATTATCAGAAAAACTCGTATAAAGTTCGTTTCAGGATTACCCAGATTTTCGGGGTATAAATGCCAAGAGAACATTTTCTCCGTATTTAGATACACCCTCTATTATCAGAAAAACTCATAAAATTCGTTCCAGGGTTCCAAGGCTTGATATTTATTAATATATATTTTTTTTTCTTTTAATATAGGAATAATTTTTTTTAATAGGGATTCTTTAAATAGGGAATGTAAGAGTATACATAAGAGTTCCTAAATTTGTTCGCATTATTTAGATACTTGCTCTATTATCAGAAAAACTCGTATAAAGTTCGTTTCAGGATTACCCAGATTTTCGGGGTATAAATGCCAAGAGAAAATTCTCTCCGTATTTAGATACACCCTCTATTATCAGAAAAACTCATAAAATTCGTTCCAGGGTTCCAAGGCTTGATATTTATTAATATATATTTTTTTTCTTTTAATATAGGGATTATTTTTTTTAATAGGGATTCTTTAAATAAGGAATGTAAGAGTTCCTAAATTTGTTCGCATTATTTAGATACTTGCTTTATTATCAGAAAAACTCGTATAAAGTTCGTTTCAGGATTACCCAGATTTTCGGGGTATAAATGCCAAGAGAAAATGGTCATGATAATTTTCCATCTAAACTGATGATTCGAATAACGAATCGAGAGAATCGCGACGCTTGGGCTTTCGTTGCGCGGCGGCTTGTTGCAGCAGCGGCGCAACGCAGCGCGGCGTCAGAAGTTCCCCTACTGGAGAACGTAGAGCGCGGTCGCTGCCGTTTTACGTTCTCGCGCTGAGGGTTCTCTCTCTCTTCCACTTCCACGGCGACTCCTCCGCTGCACGGCGCGCCGCGGGTTCTCTCGCCTCCTCGTCGTCGTCGGTGAGCAGCGAGAGCGAAGCAGCGCCGGTGCCCGTGGCCGCTGTCCCAGTCGTCGCCCTACTTTGTCGAAGCCAACTCGAAAAGCTTGACACAACAACTCTCGGCGACATTTTGCACCTCTCCACTCGGCACGACGGCGCTGACACACGTTACATGCCCGCGCGGGTACACACGCACACGTGTACGAACGACGCATCCCCGACGACGCGACGACGACGAGGAAGAGGACGAAGGAGAGACGCGTCGAAGCTTTGGAGCACCCGGATAATCGGTATCGATCGCCCAAAATTTCGATCCTCGCCCCCACCCATCAAAAAAAAAATTGCGCGCGCTTGACCCCACTCTCTCCCACGTGTTATTATTGGTGCACACCGAGAGGAACCGGAAGCGGGCCGGTCCAGATTCGTACGTGTGTGTTGTGCATGTGTGTGTGTGACCTACGACAACAACCTGCCACTCGGTTTCGGCGCCTGTGACGTTCGCACACTCTCGACCCGGCCGAAACCCTCGCTCTACTTTTCCCGCAGAGGTCACGGAGCGTGTTCGCGCGTCAATTCGGAAGGTCGGAGCATCGCCGAGAAGGTGGAGGTGGAGATGGTGGTCGGTTGGTCGCGCGAGAGAAATCGAAGCGCGCTCGGACAATTCTAGAATTATTGGCCGCGGACGTTGCCCCCGCGAACACGCGACACCGTGTGGCATTCTAACGAGGCCGATCATTAAATTTGTATCCATCCCGCGCGACGCTGGTCCAGCGAAGGTCGATTACCCGGAGCGAAGGAAGTCATCGGATATCATTTACAACTCCGATCGATCGATCGATCGAACGTCCAGGTCGGGAAAACGCTCGAACCGGAAGTGCCATCGAGCCAGAATATCTCTCTCCTTCTTTCTCTCCCTTTCGCTTTGCGTTTACCTAAGCAAAACCTCTCTAGAAGAGAGTTACACCATGTACATTCGGACTACTAGGTTGTCCAACTAATTTCCTCGGTGCATCGTTCAACCCCGATGACGATGATGATGACGATGATGATGATGATGATGATGATGATGATGGAAACCCGACCCACCGCCACTCTGATCTCGAAACGGAAACACTGCCAATTGTAAAATAAAAGCGAAGACGGGGGATCTGAAGCACGAAAGTCGATCGGGGAACCTCTCTTTTGCCCGCCGTCGTCGATTTCTTCCTCCAAGCTCGAACCACGAACCACGGCCAAAGTCACACGCGGATCCTTTCCGGGTCGGGCATGCGCGTTTCCCGAAACGACGCGCGGGATCAACGAAAAGAAGAGAGACTGGAAGGAAAACCGTCGAGCAAACGACACAAAACACTGCCGCTTTAGTTTAACGAGACACTGCCATTTTTGGAAGCCAGAAGAACCGGATTTAATGAAATCGCGGCTTGTGGGAGAGAGAGAGAGAGAAGACTATTTCGTGGAGTGAAAATTGGCGATTAAAATTATTCCAAGTTGTTCAAGTGATTTCGCGAGAAGATTCCCGGTGGTTTAATAACCGCGCGATTTCTTATTAAACGAGTCGCGAAATGAGAGGAAAAGTACAGGATGTTATCTAACCGTTGCCCGACTGACTGCCATTTTAATCCACGTATACACACGCACATGGAGGAAGACAAATAAAGTGCAGTGAACTCACAATCAATCGCGAGAGGTCTCGTGAGAAAAATAAAAAAAAGAGAGGAACCGTCATATACAATAATTGATCTGACAATTGGAAATTTCATTGTCCCTACGAAGTGATCGGAGGAATTAGTTTCATATATTTTGTCGCGTCAAATGTGCACTTGAAAGCGGAAGAGTTCTTTAAATAATGCAAAAATCGGACCAAAAAATCGACGGGCAAGTGATCGTGTAATGTTCATTAATTTACGTATAATCGGTAATTACTTCTTCAATCTTCAATTTTGTCGAAAAACAATTAATACGATTGAGAATAAAAGCGATATCGTGGAAAATCATTGGTGAATAAAATCGGTACACGGTAGTCAAAAAATCGCGGTCACGTGATTATTTTCGAATCGTGAAGAGTGATGCGAAGGAACTGGAAAACCCGGAAAGGGAGAAGAAGCATAATAAACAAGCTATTGTTCATGGCTATTGGGACAAAATAGACAAAAGATAACAACAGACTCACCGATAGCTGGAGCACTGTTCGTTCCACCGTCTTTCCGTCTAGACGAGATCCGTCTGCAAAGAAAAGAAAATTATTTATAGATTATTTATAGATCTCACGCATTAAAAAAAAACACACAGAGCCTATACACGTCCAACATAATTACTGTCTAAGCTTCGACAATTCTATATATTCATGTGTTCGCTTTAAATATTATATAATATCGCAAACCAAACATTCTTGGGGTGTCTCGGTATAAGAATTCCGCGGTCACCGGAAGTGTTTCCAGCGAAAAAAAAATCAGGAAAAAAAAACGACGAGACGGCAAAGGGTGACGCATGGTACCGGAAGTGTCGGACAAATGAGGAACAACAAGTGCAAGTGCCTAAGAAAACGGGCCAGGCGGCGGAGACGTGTCTCCGATTAAGAAAACGCCTAGTGTGATCCAGGAAAAGGTGAAAACCTGTGTGTTGGTGCGTGGTGACGAACCATCGGTGATAATCAGCCGATAATCGCTGACAACCACGTGGTTACGTCCCGACGAGCCTTCCTCGTCGGTGCAGAATTTTCAGAGGATCGCAAGCAAGCAGGCTACGCTTTTCATACCTCGGATGCCTTTTGCGGAAAAAGATGTAAGTCGTAAGATGTTTCAGACAAGCGCAGTCTACATGAAATAATTGAGATGTCTGATAAGGATATTTTCTGAATTGAAAATGCTGAATATCTCATTGCTAGTAGATCGAATTTTTAATATTTTAAAAAATGCTGTATACACACATACACATTCTAGGGAACGCTTTTATACGCGGAGAGAATTTTCTCTTAGAATTTATCCTGAAAATCCTGCTAATCGTGGGACAATATGATATTGGAAGAATTTTATGAGATTCTCTGATTAAAAGTATTTACCACAATAAAAAGTATTAATATGTACATCGTAAAATTAATCAAACGTATTTTATATCTTATTGCGATAGATATTAATTTTTTTCTTCTCTTCTATAAAATTCTTATAAAATTCTTCCAATGCCATATTGTCTCACGATTACCATGATTTTCAGGGTGAATTCTAAGAGAAAATTCTCTGTGTGTACATCTAACATACAACCAACATGTACAAAATACATACACAGTATTTACTAAATTATATAAATTATCATTAGAGAGTTAATTGAAACGAAGGAATAAATGTTTTGTAAAATAGCTTTGTCCTCCGTGTATCGGGATAAATTTTGTAAAGTTAATCGGAACTTGCATTTAATGCATTAATAACATTGCAATCATCATTACATAAATGACTAATGTTTATTATATTTTGTTTCATGATTCACAATGGAAAAGTATGTTGTACAAAGTAATATTTCACTTCAATATATCACGTTATAAAATTAATAAAATAAAGTGCTTTATTATTGTTATTATTTTCCGAAGAAAATTGACAAATAAATTTATACAAATCTATGAATTGTAAAATATATTATATTAAAGTAGAAAATATATCAAGTGATATACATATACGCGCGCAAGATGTCCTAGAAATAAATAAATTATGATAACTCAGCCTTTCGACGAGTTCCGCATCTTCCAAGGAAGTGCGACATTCAATTTATTAACGAATTATTATCGGCATAATTTCTCGCGGAATCATACCATAATTAGGAACCTTGTTCGCTGTTCGTCACACGCCGCGAAATACACATCGATATCTATATACCTACCGCGTAAACAAGTCGCGTGTCATTGATGAGACGAGAGAGAGCGCGCGCGCGCGCGCGAAAAAACCAAGAAGAAAAAGTACACATTAATGCGATGCAAATTGCGGGTGGCAAATTACGCATTCAACGTCGAAAGGTCTAGGTCGCCACTGTTCGTAATTTCTTCCGGCAGATCGAATTTTGTGTGAATTAGTTTGACAAACTGATACGAAGGACGAGGCCCATACCTAAATATACCTCGCCTCGGCCTGATCAGGAAGAGAGAAACGGCGCTCGTAGGTATGTGCACAAAGATGCTGATGCAAGCGTTGAAGACACGCAATAAATAGATCGAGAGATAGAGAGAGAGGGAGAGGGAGAGAAAGAGAGATCATTTTTTAAATGAATTCTATTAACCTTGGCTATTAAGAGAACCTCTATAATGTAGACGGCCATGCAATATATCTATGTCCGATTGTACATTTTGCGTAGCAATGTGCAATATCCGTTTTTTATATATTGCAATTATTATTTAACCTTTACCTTTCGTATGGATTTAATGACATTTTTCTATTTAAAAATATAAAACAGTGACATTGCTCAAGACAGTCCTAGAAACTGTCTCAGAAAAATAAAAGAAATCACATACATATATTATAATATAAAAAGATATATGATAAAAATTATGAATACTGCCCACGTATTGAAAAGCTAGAAGTAATTGACAGTGTCTTTGAAGTCAGCGTATATAAATATTTTTATAAAAACATTGATTTATACATCTTGATACGTTTATTAAAATGCATTCTTTAATATTGTTTTTGCACTTCTGTTTTGCTAAACGCAAAAAAGGTAATATTAAGAGCAAGAGATATAATATTGAAATTGAAGCAGATTTCAAGATATAAATTAGTATAATTCATATTGATATATTATATTTCTTGTTGATATTTTTTGACATTATATTCAAAAAAATAATTCGATAATATCAAATATTTTTTGCAAAATGCGTACGCTTTTTTTTAATATACGCTCTTTTTTTTAACATAAATTATCATTAATTTTAAATACAATAACTGATACATTTAATTACGTTGCTAGTCATGAATAATATTATCTTATATAACGAATGCGTTGCGACAATTTTGAACAAAAATAAGAATAACAAGAATACACAAAAATACCAAATAAATGTTTTCATCTCTATTTGCAAATAATTAAATAAATCGATGAGAAAAATTAGTCTTTGTGTAACATATATATAAATGTTTTTTTTTTAAACTTTTTATCCACTAGCCTGATGTTTTCTTGCCACGACTATAAATAGGTGTCAAGGAATTTGAAATAACTCGTGTTTTTAACTACGTTTTTAAATCCGATTTTAGATAACACATAGATTGAGAAACTCTATGTAATTACTTATAAGTATACGATTGCAACATAATATAATATGTTTACGGTGTTAATCAGAATGCTGAAACTACCGGTTTTAATACCGTCGCATTAAATTGCACGGATTGCGAGTGACGCGATAAGAATGGTGCGCCGAAACACGAGAGCTATGTATTATGCAAACTCGAAGTTATTCTGGCGGATGAGCGCGCAGTAGCCCATAGCGGGTTCTAATCCAGACCGACTTCACTCGCGAGGTTTGTAATTTCTCGGTGACCATGATACGCGAGTGCATATCACACATGAATCGCATACATCACGACGACGCGTCTCTCTTTCCCTCTCTCTCTCTCTCTCTGATACAAACGTATAATATTTGTTAAGACTATACTTACGAGCCTTAATGCGAGACATGTATATAGCGTAAAATTGCAGCAAATTATAAGATACAAAAATATAAAATAAAAAAAACAGATAAAAATCGTTGAATTCAACAAAAGTATCATAATGACGAGTTGGGGGTAACGTGTGTTTTTGATGATCAATTTTTCGGAGTAAAAAAAGAAAACTAGAATTAATTTTAATTTTTTAATTTGCATAATTTTAAGTACAATTATCGGCTACAAATTTTTTTGTGCTTGTAAAATGCGATAAATTGATTAAAAAAATATTTTTTTTTTAAATGACTAACATGACGTATAACACGTTCATTGAACTTATTCATCAAGATTGTCATTTGCAGATTGTTGAGCTTCTGTTTATGATAGTGTCGATGACAGATTGGATCAAACTAAATTATGTTTGGCACCAACCTCAGGCGCTTACAACTGATTGTTGAGTTAAGGTCTATATATCTAATTAAAGTACACAAATAACCCAATCTCGCAGACTGCTGCGACACGTACGATTAGCGTATCGAAACGTGTATTATTCCCAAATTAAAACTTATGAATATATTATATAATGTATGTTTCTATATTAATGAAAATATATTGCATATTTCATGCACAAATATTAATTAATAATTAATTTCGCGCGCGTTTTGAGCATATTAAACGACAATATGGTAATTCATTATTGAAGATTAAATAATCTTTCACATACAGAAAGAATTTTCTCTTAGAATTTACCCTCCTCAAATCATGATAATCGTAAGACAATATAATGAAAAGAATTTTATAAAAGTGTCTCTAATTAAATATTTACCACAATAAAAATATTAATACCTATATCACAATAAGATGTAAAATATATGTTCGATTAATTTTGCTACGTACATACTAATATTTTTTATTATAAATATTTAATCAAAGAAACATAAAATTCTTCCATATTGTCTCACGATTACCATGATTTTCACAGGGTAAATTCTAAGAAAAATTCTCTCCGTATAGAATCGTCATTTTCAATATTATCATAAGAAATAAAAAATAAATAATCCTAACATATTTATGTTCTCTATTATTCTAATATTTTTTATTATTTAAAAATTTAACCTGACACAAAATTTATTGAGCAAATAATATTGAAAAAATTAAAAGGCAAACAAAGTTATCATTTTTTGAATAAATTATACGAAGAAAATATATTAATTTTCTGAAAATTATCCTTCAAATTATGTTGCTCCATAAAATTCCCAAAAAAGTCCTTACATTTTTAGGCCCCAAGAATCATCATCAGCTCCTGCACTCTCAACCTACTGCATGCAATAAAAAAAAACGTATTAAAAATCAATTATATACAAAAAATATACGATGACGTGAGACTCGCGCAAAAGCAGGCAGTTATTCTGGCGGATGAACGCAGAGCGTTAGTGACGTTACCTCGTCTAACCTCCTCTTGTTCACGCTGGGCATTCGCCCTCTCGCGATGACGAAGGTTGAGATAGGTCGGGTGCATACGCGAGTGCATAGCGTTCCATGTATGTATGTATGCAGGAGCACGCACTACTACAGGCTGCCTCTCCGCGTAGACTACTACTCACGTAA